TGAGAAGAATATGTACTCATCTTTTTTGGGCTGGAGTGCCCTATAAATTTCTGTTTAGTTTATCTGGTGTAATTCCACATGTAAGCTGTTGTTTCTTTATTGATTTTGTCTGTTGATTTTTCCCATTGATTTCAGTGGGGTGTTGAAGTCCCTTACTATAATTGCTTGTTGTCAATATCTGTTTGCAAGTTTGTTAATAGTTGTTTTACATATTTTGATGTTCCTTTATTTAGAGCATATTTATTGATGAGTGTTAATGTCTTTCTGAATGTTATTAATCCATCCTTAACCACTATATAGTGTCGACCCCTGTTTATTGTTACCTTTTAAAGCTGGAATTCTATTGTATGATTGTCCTGGCCTTTTTTATGGTACCATTTACCGGTAGGTAGGATCATTTTCCAATCTTTGACTTTGAGCCTGTGTTTATCTTTGATCCTCATATAGGTCTCCAGCATATAGCAGAAAGTTGGGTGTGGGATCCCCAGCAATTCTTTGTTTTGGGGGCTAATGTCTTGGTTCCGTGAGTCTTGCTGGTCAGCTAGGCATACATTCAGGCAGGAGACTTAAGTCCTGGTATGAGGAACATACTGGGAAACCAGTATCTGCTGAAAACAGCAGGCAGATATTATGACCAGATTAGCAAGATCAGCTAAAATACCTTACTTGAAAAGATTAGCAGAAAGTTAGGTAAGATTAGAAATAATATACTTTGACTAGTAGGAACAATGGAACCCCACAGGCAATAGCTCTTGGTGGGCAATAGCCCACTCTACCCTAGCTTACATCCTGATAAAGCATCCCCTTGGAAGGTATACTACATAAGTGCTTACCCCACCTTTGTTCTTGATTCTAATAAATCTGAGACTGCCTTTGAATCAGGGCTGCACGTTACTGCCCAGCGTAGCCCTCTAGGCTTCTCATTGCTCCAACACACTTGGCCTTTGAGTGGTCTTTCTCTTCTCCTTCACCTTGCAGAGCAGAGGCAGTTGGGTTTTAGTTTCTGATCCATTCAGTCACTTTGCCATTTGGTTGGTGAGTTCAAAGTATTTCTGTTTAGGGAAATTATTGATATATAAGTATTTACTGCCATTTTGCTCTTTGTTTCTGGGTGCATTTGCAATTTATTCCTGTTCTTTTGCTCTCTTCCCTTGTGTTTTGAAAGCTAACTCTTGTGTGGTGATTGTATTCTATTTTTATCTTCTTTGTTTCTTCCAGGTATTTGTGTCCTGAGGGTCCTATGTGATTCATAGGTAGGGGTCTGTACTTGTAACTACCTTAAATTGAAAGCAAATTAATATTGAACTCCTTATACCAGTCCCAGATTTTGCTCTCCCTCCCCCCATGTTTTTTGAATCCTGTTGTTCCCTCCTCCCTCCCTCTCCTCCCTCCTCTCTGCTTTCTTTCCTTTTCCCTTCCCTCCTTCCTTCCATCCTCTTTCTTTTTTATAATACTCCCTTTAATATTTCTTGCAAGGCAGGTTTAGAGGACATGAATTCCTTCAACTGTTACTTGTCTGTAAAACTCTTTATTATTCCTTCAATTCTGAGTGTTAGCCTAGCTGGACAGAGATTTTTGGTTGGAGATCTTTTCCTTTCCCTTGAAAATGTCATGCCATTCCCTTCTGGCCTGTTAAGGTTCCTGCTGAGAAATCTGCTGCTTGTTTTATATGTGAGTCTTTGCTTTTCTCTTAATGCTTTAAGGATTTTTCCTTAATTTTTCCTTAATTTTTCCCATTTTAATGATAATATGTCTTGGTGTGCATCTGTTGGGCTTATTTTGGGAGGCACTTCATGAGCTTCCTGGTTCTGGATATTTGTTTCTTTCCGCACTTTGGGGAAGTTCTCAGTTGTTATTTCTTCAAATAGAATTTCTTCCTCTTTCTCTCTCTCTTCTCTTTCTTGAACCCCTCTGATGCAAATGTTGTTCCTTTTGATGCTGTCCCATATGTCTCTTATGTTGTCTTAATTGTTCTTGATTTTTTTTTCTTTAAAGATTTATTTATTTATGCATACAAGAGCTGGGGTGCAGGCCAGAAATGCAGGGGGTGAGAGGATTCACCAGAGACAGAGCAGGGAACAGAACAGCCAGACTGACTGAAATACACTGCTGAGGGGAGCAGCGGGCAAGACAGGAGAGGTCTGCTGTGCCGTGTGGGTATTTCCCTGGCCGGGGCTTGAATTTGTGCCACAGTGGCTGCCTATAGCTTCATAGTAGTGAGACTTAATCCTTTCACCACCAGTGAGGCCCTGTTGTTGGTGTTGGTCTTATTGGATGATTTCCACTACCCTTTCTTCCATCTCACCGATTCTTCCATGGATTTGTTGAGTCTACTGGGGAGTGCCTCTATTGTTGTATTTTTCATTTCTGTTTGGAGTGTTTTCATATTTTCTCCTTGTTGTATTTCTCATTTCCTTTATCTAATTTCAGTAAGCATCATTTAAGACTGTTGTTCTGAACTCTTACTCCAGTTATTTGATATTATTTGTATTGTGTTGGGATTTTTCCCCAAGGTTTTGTCTTGATCTATCATTCTGGTTGAATTCTATTTCCTCATTTTCCTTTGATGCTCTGTGATCATTTCTGTGGGTTGAGCTAGAGTGTTTCCCTTCTCAGTCCTGCAGTGATGGTGTTTGCTTTAGAATTGCAGGCTAAGAGTATTAGATGCTGTTGTTATATTGGTTGAAACATCATGATCAATCAGGATGACTAGTGTTCAAGAGCCAGCACAGGGTAAATTAGTCCAAGAACCCAGCCTACAAGGTGTGAGCTGGATGTGTGGGGATGTGGAGGTAGCTGCAGTATGTTGCCAAGGGAATAAGCCTCCCTTGGTGCTGCAGCAGCTTGGCCAAGGAGGAATCGGTAATCACTGTGTGGTCAAGTCTGATCAAGGCGTACCACCCATGGTTTTCTCCTAGGAACTCTAAACTTCAGCTAACCCTTCAGCTGCAGCTTAATTCTGATCTTAGTAGGTTTTGCTAGAGACTCGCCCACTGCTCCCCTCAGCAATATATTTCAGTCAATCTGCCTGTTCTGTTCCTCACTCTGTCTCTGGTGAATCCTCTCACACCCCACACCTCTGGCCTGTACCCCAGTTCTTGTATGCATAAATAAATAAATCTTTTAAAAAAAGAGAGAGACTCTGTACTCAGAGGCTCTGGCCTGAGGCAGAGTAGCCAGGAGGCTGTGGGCTTGGGCCCCTGGCAAGTACTGCAAGAAGTTGCAGATTTTGTAATAGTTAGGCTCTCCAAATGCCTGCCCGGCCCTGCTTAGCCGGGGCAGGAACTAGTACTTCTTGGCATTGCCATGCTAGTCACCAGCAGCTCAAGGTGTTTTGTACATATTCTCATTGCCATTATACTTTTAGAAGTGTCACTCTTCTGTCTTCCATGGGCTAGGAAGCCAGGGAAGCCCTGGAAGTCCAGATGGGAGGGGTACGTGCTTTATATGGGATGCCAACTTAGCTGCCAGCAGTGCTGTGTAGTTCAGGCCCATGTCTATCCTGCCACTTGTTTTCCTGATAGTAAGCAAAGTTCTCCTAACTGTATTGGACTAGGAGCCAGGGAAGGTAGGGAGGGGTTTTATAGCTGGTAGAGGGCCTGGTTTACCAACAGGAAACTGGCTTCCCTGCTTTTCCTAGGGATGGGGCTGGGGCCTACACCCTCTGTAACAGGTAGTGAGAATTTGCAGGGATTCTAAGTCTAACTACCACTTTAAAAAAAAGAGAGAGACTCTGTACTCAGAGGCTCTGGCCTGAGGCAGAGTAGCCAGGAGGCTGTGGGCTTGGGCCCCTGGCAAGTACTGCAAGAAGTTGCAGATTTTGTAATAGTTAGGCTCTCCAAATGCCTGCCCGGCCCTGCCCAGCCTGGGCAGGAACTAGTACTTCCAACTTCAGGTGGGAGGGCTCTGTTTCCAGGGACAAGTGTCCCCCAAATCTGATCTTTCTTTACCTTTTACTGCTCTGGCATGGTCCCTGGCGTTGTCTGTGTACTCTGACACTGCTACATTTATGACTACACCTGGGAATTTTTATAGGGAATGAGGCTTATTAATTCTGCGTGCAAATGTGAACAGTTTGAACACTGAATTTTATAAAAATTGTTCTAGACCATGAAGAAGACCATATGAAGGTTCCTAGATTCGTCTTATAAAATCATAACCCAGAAAAGGGTTTTCTTTCTTTATTGGCTCAGTTAAAATGTCTGGTCGGGGACTTCTGGAGCTTCTCCCATGTCTGAATTCTCCATTGCCTCCAGGTTACCACCCATTTTAAAATTCTTGTTTCAGGCATAAGTTGAGGAACCTTCACTTGAATACCACCTTTTTGGGCCTGTTTTATAGATGAGTCATTTACCATCTTCTTCACATGTGTTAGCAATAGATCCTCAACAACAGGATGCAAAGTTTAGGTACGATTTGGATGAATCCATAAACATTTTAATTGTTCCCGTAGAGAAACCACTGAACATAAGTATCTTATAAAAGATTATCCAGAATTTTGAGACTAATTTAAAGCTATTTAGAAAAGTGATAAATTCACACCAAAGACAACACATTACCGGGGTCTTATGACCTGTTGATTTTTAATCTCCAAGAGTGGTTGTGGCAAATTTTTGAACTCCTGTCAAATTACACTTACATAGTATTTGTTGACTTTTCCTATTATGTCTCCTATTTTATAGGAGATCTATATCTTATATTCCCATTTGATAATTTATAAAATAGTAATAAAACCTTACTATCTTAGTGGGAAGAGCTTTCTAATAAGCGTTATTCTTGCATATGTATATAGAAAGACTTCTTAAGATATAAGAAATACAGGGACTTCTTAAGAAACCAGTCATTTTCCTTATCAGTGAGGTAACCTTTGTAAAAGCACAGGGCAATTCATTTATTTGAGAATGTAGATAGGATTCTGTCATGCTTTAGTTTTTAATAGAGGGAGCTGGTGATATTAATGAACATAACCCAGTCCGTTCTCCTTTCTCCTTTCTCCTTAGGCATATGGATCAGACCTGGACACCAGTTGTGCCTTACCTGGGAGCCTACAATTTTCTCATGGTGAATGCTTGCTGGATTTGACTCTTGATTGCTGGCAACTCCTGGACAGGAAAAATGGCTATGATCAGACTGGGGCTTGGAAACCAGAATTTTCATCTGTTAAACAAGAGGACGTTTTTGCTGTTGAAACTTGCAGCTAGTATCTTTGCTGTGCTTCTGTTTTGTGAATTTTTAATCTATTACTTAGTGATCTTTCAGTGTAATTGGCCTGAAGTGAAAACTCCAGCTTATGATGGTAAACAGAAGAAGCTTGAACCTGTGCTGAAAGCCATGTTTTTGGCTGATACCCACTTGCTTGGGGAAGTGAGAGGCCACTGGCTCGATAAATTACGAAGGTAGGAACCCAAATCAGGAATCTCTGAAATTCTGTAGATAAGAGGTACAGCTCTCTCCCCCTCACCCCACAGGCTAGGCTCAATGCCTTCAGGGTACTCATTGCTTGTTTCCCTCTCCTGGAAGGACATGGGGACTTTGCCTTTTCTGTGAATTTTTTACTGATCATCTTTTATACAAGGACCCAGAATTCAGGAGGCAGTCTGGTTTGTCTTGTGACTTTGGACAATTTACTCATGCCCCTCTGAACCTATCTCTGCCCTCCTTGTTGTTAACTGGGTTATATGAGAAACTTCACAGGCTCATTGAAGAAAATGTCTGCACCACGCTGACACGGGAGTGGGTAGCTGAGGTGGGTTTCCTACTCTCTGGGCAGGAGAGCAGACAGAGCTGGTGGGTGGTCCCCTCCACAGGTGTGTAATTTTGAGTCCACCAGCTTTTTGCCTTCCTGCAGCAAGACAAGCAGAGCAGATTGGTGGCTGTCCCCTGCAGAGAGGGTCAGGACCTGTCTCTCCAGCTTAGACCTGCACAGCTAGTTTGTCTGTTTTCTGAAGCTTTTTGTCTGAAGCTTTTTGAAAAGTTTAATCATAGTAAAATTCGCATACCATAGTCATCCTCTTAAGATGCTTTTTCATGTCCTGTTCAATGGTGTTAGTGCCTTCACATTGTTGTCCATGCAGTACCACCCTCCATCACTAGGCCCTTTTCTTTATCCCAAACATTCTCTGTACTCCTCATTTTCTCCTTTCCCAGCCCCCAGTGGCCACCATTTTACTTTCTGTCTCTGAATTTGACTACTCTTGGCCTACATGTAAATGGGCTCTTGCAGTCTTTGTCTTTTTGTCATTGGCTTATTTCATTTAGCATAATGTCCTCAAGGTTCATCCTTGAGTACCAAGTGTCAGAATTTCCTCTCTTGGAAAGATTGAGTATTCCATTGTATCTTAAGCCACATTTTATTCATTCATCCATCCCTCCTTCAGTAGACACTGGGCTATGTGCGCCTCTTGGCTATTGTGAATAACGCCCACCAAAAGAGATCTGATGGGGAGTTTCAACCTTAGAGTCAGAGAGCTCCCCTTCTTGCCCCTGGTGATCCCATACCCCAACCCCTGTTCCTTACAATGGCTGCATTTGTGCCCTCTAAACAGATCTTTAGTCTTGTGAAGGGAGCATTTTTCTATCTGGATGAACCTTATGCCAGATGGGAGGGGAATATGTCTAACATCCTAGGGATGGGTGAAGGAGACAGGATGAATGGAGAGATGGAGGGAGGGGCTGCCATACTTTGTTAAGAGTTTAAATACAAAGGGGTGTAATTTGGAGAAGGACTTAGGTGAGGCTTGGGTTCCTTTGGCTTTGTTCAGATCAGTCCTCCAAACAGTCTTCCTTACCCTCTAGCCGCTCCTGTTTCTAGATCCTTTCTTTTTTGGGTTGAAGAATAGTAAATCAAAGAAAACTGAGAAATGTATTTTGAGAGGTATCTCTCAAGATAAACCTTTAAGTAGTGATGTCTACCACGCAGGAGCCTTGAAAAGCCTCCTTTGACCAAAATTATCTTCCCCTGCTAATACCTTAGCACATGACATTCTTCCCTCTCCACTTGGGTAGGGGAGAAGCATCCTGGGGCATACCTTAAGAAGGAAGGAAGAATTGGGGTCTTTAAGGCTGGATGTCATGGGTTGGAGTTGGTTTGGCAGCAGGGGAGGCTTGACAAGGCACAGACTTTTTGAATACCTATTGTTGCAGATGCTGTGCTGGGCATTTTATAAATGTTCTCTCATTTAATACCATAACTAGCCTATGAGAGAAGGTTTGGTTATCTAACTTACCAATGAAGAAACTAGAAATCAGACAGTAAGTGACATTTCCTAGGCTATTTGGTCTGGTAGTGAGTGGAGGTTATCCAGCTACTGCCTGCCAGACACTGGATCTCCAACTCTGTTCATTTGCTCCTCTTGCCAATGAATGATTGTGGGCATGTGTGAAGTCTAAAGGATTTGAGTTTTGATATTCACTGGTCTCTCATTGTCTCCCCTCCAACCCTTTAAGAAGAAGTGAAACTTCAGCTATGGCCTGTCCTCTCTGGTGGGGTATAAAACCAGTCTATATTTTGCATCGTAGAAGCAGCATTGAGCTCTCAGAAGGGACTCCTGTGACTGAGTGATCTTTCTGGGGTACAGTGTTGGAGCTGATCTGTGGGTACCATATGGAGAAAGTCAGCCTTTGAGGTGTATGGGAGGGCAGCAGACTCTTCTTGGGTGTTTTGTTCCCCTCCTTTAATCAGAAACAGACTCTTGGGCCTCCCAAGCAGGAGATGGCAATGCATGGTGGGGCCCAAGGAGAATGGGCCACATTCAATTTACTTTTTAAGTGGCCCAAAGACAGAGGGGGCGCCACTCAAAAAAACCAGACTGATGCCTTCCCTTTTTTTTCAAGAGAATGGCAAATGGAGAGAGCCTTCCAGACGGCCCTGTGGTTATTGCAGCCAGAAGTCGTCTTCATTCTGGGGGACATCTTTGATGAGGGGAAGTGGAGCTCCCCCCAGGTAGGACCCTATGACCCAAGCACCCGGTTCCTGCTTTGAGGGTCCAACACAGGCAGCTCTGAGAATCCATGAGGCAATACCAGTGAGAGCTGGTAGTTTTGCTTATTACCAGTACAAAAAATGAAATGTTCATCTATCGGGAAGCTTATACGTGTCTTTTTCCAACATCATTTGGAGCCATCATTAGGTTGGCTAATGTTACAGTTGTCTGTAGGAAATATATAGATCAGCCATTTAGTTGGAATGTACATTCCCATGAACCTCTCTGGAAAGGGAAAAATAGGCAAGACGGATGCCATTTCAGTAGTCACCAGAATTACAGAGTACGTGCTGAAATGTGTGTTTAACTTTACATTCTTTTATCTAACCACTACCTAGCCAGAATTATGCTGCAAAATTATGCTCCAAAATTAGATATTTGTACTATAAAAGTTACTTGTTTCTCTTATTTTCTCCTGAGGGAGAGGTGCAGAAAGAGCCATGGGCCTTGATTTGAAGGGCTCTGCCTTTGGGGGCTGAGACCTCTGCCTGGGTATTGGCGTGACGTAAGCCTTCCTACAAACCAAAGAGAAAGGCCACACTTAACCCAGCAGTTACGAAGCTTTGCTTGTTAAATTCCTGGAATTAATGGGGAATAAAAAGAGTTATTATTGCTGCTGAGTTAAAAATGTTCAATCATAAATGGCTTATGGAAGGGATATTTTGGGGAATTTAAAAAATTCACTAGCAGTTCCCAGAATGGTCCAATAACTGTACAAAGAAAGTCTAGGCTAGTTATATGATAGAAACTCACTGTCAGCTTGCAATGTTTATTATAATCTAGTCCATAATTAAATATGAGATTATGGACATTCTATTTATAAAAAACAATTAGTTATACAATGAAAATTGTAAATTATTGAAAATGAAGGGTGGCATTTGATGTTATTTTTAAACATTTTATGTTATTCTATCTGAAATTCTTATTTCTTACAGTGAAGTCTTTGCAAACATAGGACTCTCTATCTGGCATATTTCTGTAGGTTGAGCCATGTTTGAAACTTTCAGGATAAGGTTGATCAGTACTCTATTCTGAATAAGGACAGTAATCTAGCTGATAGTTTTGGCTTAATAAAAGTAAGAACTACACTAACATAATTCTCAAGCCTTAATGGTTAATGTTACATCAATTTTGACATATTTGTGTATTTTGTCATTTTTCCCTCCCACATCTCATCAGTTCATAACCTGAGGAATTGCTCATCCTTGTCTTGGTTGGCACATACAAAGAATTTACTTGGCATTTCCTAAGAGCTTGTTCTTATAACATGTCCAGATCTGAAGCCATTCTCAACCTGGGGTCCATGCAGAGTCTTCACGGGGTCTGAAAATAATAGACATATGTGTCACATATTTTGGGGATTGCCAGTTAATATTTTAAGATGTGTGTGGGGGTAGCCTGGTTATCACTTAATTAAGTTAATATTTGAAATGATTGAAATATTAAGTGTATCTTGGGAAAAGAAGGATAACATAGAATTAGAAATTCCACGTTCTAAATTAGGCTTCTGAACCTGACCTAGGCAGGGAATTAACTTACCATCATCAGAATTCAAATCATGTTTTTTAGCTCCTGCAAAGAGAGGGTTCTCTGGGTTTTAGCAGCTGTCCTTTCCCCCACAGGCCTGGGCGGATGATGTGGAGAGGTTTCAGAAAATGTTCAGACACCCACAGCATGTGCAGCTGAAGGTGGTTGCTGGCAACCATGACATTGGTTTCCACTATGAGTAAGTAGCTCCCTGTAGCGTGGCACCCCGAGTGTTCTTGTTCACTCTAATCTTACACCTGCCACACTTGAGGCCTTATTTGTGCTGTGTGGTAGACATTAATTTTCCTCAAAAGATGTAAGTTCTAGAATTTAAGCTCCAGAAGGGCAAGGAGTTCTGACTTGGCATAATGAGCACCCTCCAACAAATCTCTGCTAAATGAATGACTTGTATGTACTGTTGGGTGATTCTAACTTGAACCTTACATTCAATGCCCAGTTATTTTCTTTGGGAATCAGAAAATCAGACATTTGGACTTAACACCTAACATTTATATAGTTCTTATGAGGTGCCTGTCTTGGCACTTTACTTCCATGTATTAACTCATTACCAGGTCCTGCTATGTCAATAGTAGACTCCCCTACCTGCAGCTTAGCTGTCCTCTGTTTCCATTACCTACAGTCATTGTAGTCCAAAATAACTATGTCCTTTAAGATGTTTTGAGAGGGTGAGCACATTCACATCACTTATGTTGTTGTAAATGTTCTATTTTATTTTTTGCTATTGTAGTTCATTTCTTACTGTGATAAATTAAAATTTTATCATAGATATGTAGGAATAAACATAGTATATATAAGGTTTGGTCCTATACATCTTTTCAGGCATCCACTTGGGGTCTTAGAAGGTATTCCCCCCACCCGCCCATGGATATTTTACCCATTGAAATCAATGAGGGAACCGAGGTCCTGGGGGCTACGTCACTTGGTCCAGGCCTCGTGGTTAGAGGGCAGTGAGCTGAGAGTTGTACATTACAGCCCAGGGCCAGCAGGTGTTCCTCAATGCAACACTTGTCTGGTATGCAAATCCCGAGTTATTTTCTGTGTTTGTGATAACTCTTAGAAGGTATTAAATGGAATGTTCTGAAAAGTGCTTCTTTTTATAATTGAATATAGGATGAACACATACAAAATAAAACGCTTTGAGAAAGTTTTCAACCCTGAGAGACTGTTTTCTTGGAAAGGAATTAAGTGAGTATTATTCACAAATTCTCCTGAAGCCCTTGGAACCCTAGTTTTTATAAGGGAGACCACCATGCTTGCCAGGCCCACAGGCCATCTGTCGGTACAGTTTCTGACTAAGGCTGCTGATGGTGGCAGTCACCAGTGGAGTCACCACCCTGGTCTTCTTGTACTCCACAGTGAATCAGTCAGTCTCTGACTTTGCCCAGCCACTGAGGGGATTTTATTCTTTCTGCCTGCCCTATTTCTAGCTGATATACTTTCACTAGTCTTCTGTAAAGGCATTTGTTCACAATTCACTGATTTCCCTTTGTAAAGAATGCTCCTGAGTAATATGCCACAACTTCTTGATCCAGTCATCTATTTTGGGGCATTGGGGTTGTTTCCATAGCTTAGCTATTTTAAATAGTGCTGCTATAAACATAGGGGTGCAGGTGCCCTTTGGAATTAATGTTTCTGTGTCCTTTGGGTAAATACCTAGGAGTGGAGTTGCTGGAGCATATGGACGCTCCCTCCTTTAGCAGATTGAGGAATCTCTACACAGTTTTCCAAGTGGTTGGACCAGTTTGCACTCCCACCAGCCAAGCAGGAGGGGAGGAGGGTGTAGGGTCAAAATAAGGGAAGGTGGGAATTGTATGGTGAATATAACCAAGATGAAAATGCATACATTGTGCAAAAATGAAAAATGATGTAAAAAGATATATAAAATAAATTTTAAAAAAAAGGACAATCCTTTAAAAAACAAAACAAAACACTCCTGTGGTTAGGGTCTGAGGATTTGGGGGCAAGTGTGTTTTCTGTGCTTGGTAGCTAAGTGCCCCGCCCCTTACTTCCAAGCCCTCCTCAACCTGTAGCTGACCTTCAGCACCAGCTCCCCTTTTGTGCGGCCGTTTTCATGCCTATTTTGGGAACCTTTCCGGTCTGTGTGTGTGTTTGTAACACAGTGGACAGGCTTGTACACATTATTCTGGTTGCAGACACTGGAGAGAGAAAAGGGGAGAGAATATTTTGGTCATATCCTCCCCATGGGTGTCTAGTATTAAATGAGATAACCTGCGCCAAGCCCCCCGAGGTCTGTATGAACCTGTGTTTTGTTGGTTCTCCATAGACGCTCACTTCCCTCCCTCTCGTGTCAGGCAGCTTCCTTTCCTGGCTGTGATGAAGACTGGACACAGTTGAGTTATTCCCCCTAAGCACAGGGAGACAAAATATGCTGATCATGTTGCAGATCATTTGGCCAGACAGCTCCTTATCACTGAAGTTCTTGAAACAGGGCCTCCCTGGTGGCCTCGGGGTTAAGTCTCAGCACATCCATCAGGACAGCCTGAGTTTGTTCCCCAGCCAAGTTGCTAACCAACACATGGCACAGCAGACCCCTTCAGTCTTGCCTGCTGCTCCCCTTAGCGGTGTATTTCAGTAAATCCAACTATTTGGCTCCCCACTCTGTCTCTGGTGAATCCTCTCACTCCCTTGTCCGCTGCACCTTTAGCCTATACCCCCGTTCTGCTACACAAAAATAAATAGGTAAAATCTTAAAAAAAATTCTTTAAATTTCAAGCAATCTTCACTTTCTTCTTCCCAATTGGTACATGTATAGGAAATAAAAGCATATTTAATGAAAGTCTATCATAATGTAACTGAGGTAACAGTGTTGTAAAGGAGACCATAATCGATTTTATTATCCTATGTTGGGATTATCCATATCTATTAGCAATAAGGAACAGCTGCCACCCCTTCCTTACTTGCTGAGTGTCCATATGTGACTGGATGTTGCCTGTGGCTCACTGTGTGCAGTAATAATGATCTGACATTCACTGAGCACTTTCGGGAGCAGGCTCTATTTTGTTGTATTATTCACTCCTCATCATGTGCTGATGGCGGGGTGTATCTTACTATCCTCTTTAAATGTAGCGCAGAGAGACTAAGTCACTTGCCGGTGGGTAGATATGGAGCTTGGTGAGGCTGACCTCAGAGCTCTGTAAACTGGGATTTCCCTTAAGTTCAGGATTACAAATCCTTTTACTTGCACCCTACTCCCATTTCCATATTGATCTGGCTGGGATTTAAAGCTCTTCCAGGGTGTGTTACCTTGGGCCTCAGCTGTTACTGTGGGGGAGCGATGTTGGAGAACAGGACATGGGCCTGACACGTGCTCACTCTTCTCTGCCTCAGTTTTGTGATGGTCAACAGTGTTGCCCTGGAAGGGGACAACTGCAGAATTTGCTCTGAAGCAGAAGCTGAACTCACTGAAATTTCTCATAGACTGAACTGCTCCCGAGAGGTAGGCTGTCAGCAGGATGGCACAGGGGGCTTGTGCTTGGACAGGCACAGAAAACTGGTGTTCCTTTGTCTGTGTTTAATCTCTCAGCTTCCTCTTCCCTCCTGCCATTCACCGAGTCAGTGACTGGCTGATTTCGCCCGGCAGGAACACCACTCTAGCCAGTGTGGAGACAGGCTGCTGCTGCCTGCATCGGCCCCAATCCTGCTGCAGGTGAGGAGCAGGGAGAGCAGCCCTTGTATTTGGCAGGACAACCAGGGTCTCATGAAATGACATCTGCCTCTTCTGAATTCTGGGCAGCACTTCCCGCTTTACCGGAGAAGCGATGCTAACTGTTCAGGAGAGGATGCCGCGCCCCCAGAAGAAAGAGGCATCCCCTTCAAGGAGAGATACGATGTGCTTTCTCGGGAGGCTTCACAAAAGGTTTGCCTGTTCACCAGGCTGGGGACTCGAGGCAGATGACATGCAGGGTTATCAGTGAGGGATGGAGGGCAGGGCTTTGGTGATAGTTCAGATTTCCATGTCCTTCTTCCCACTCCCTCACTAAATTCACCTCTATTTTCTAATACCAGATTATAATATTCTCAGTTTTTTTTAATTCAAAATTTCCTATCAACCTAAATGTATTGGGAAATGTGAATGGAACATATATATTTATTAAAATGTGCTTTCTTAAATATATGCTATATAATGCATACTATTATGAAATACATTTATATAAATAAGATAAATAAAAACTATACCATCTGGGATGGAAATAGATTGTCTCTAAGAGCCTGAACTTACTATGAAGGAGGGGTTTTGTATTTGCCCTAATGCTGTAAGTTCTGGGCTGGGCAGAGCCCTACAGGCACTAACCCTCTTGCTGTCCCCACTTGGTAGCTGTTGTGGTGGCTGCGGCCGCGGCTGGTCCTGAGTGGCCACACGCACAATGCCTGCAAGGTGCTCCATGGGGCGGGCCTGCTGGAGCTCAGCGTGCCTTCCTTTAGTTGGAGGAACAGAAACAACCCCAGCTTCATCATGGTAATATGAACGTTTATTTTTGTCTGAGTGCTTTCATAACTATTTAAATCAACATAGTAATCAACTATTTAAATGCTGCTGCAATCTGTAGAAATATACAAAGGCCATAAATACCCCTACTGCACACACGCAAGCACACACACGCACACACACGCACACACTGAATTCAATACTACCCCTCAGCCTAAACACCTCTCTGGAGACAAACATAGCATCATTCCTGGGGCGGGGGGTGGGGGTTGGTAGAGGGAGAAGGGAGGGCAGGCAAGTTTTGTCCTTCAGGGCTGGCCGTACCCTCTAAGGTTAGGCTCTGTGTGTTTAATTTCCTAAGGAAATGGGATCATTTCTTCATTAGCTATATTCAGTCATCTTATTTCCCCCCATGGCCACTTGCCCTGGCAGAAAAGTGCTGGAGCTTTGCCAGTTATTAAAGATGCTTTGATTAATGACCACCTGGTGTTCAGCTCCTTGCTTTTACCCCTGGGGCCTTGCATCTGGTTCACCAAACTTTCACATCAAGTACTTTCCTTCATAAAAAGATGAGGAAACTCTCCTGTTTTCACATTCACAGTAAATGAAAACATCTCCTGCTATCATTCCATACAGCAGAAATGACTATAAAAAACCCCATTGATGCCCCCACATATATATTTCTAGGGAAAAGATTGCTTATGTTAGCAACAAATGGCAAGAAGAAAATAGCCTTTAGTCCTTGTTCCTTGACTATAGATCCAGATCGCCATGCCTTTCCACTCTCAAATATGCCCACTATTGTAGAGGAACCCCGTGGGCCAGGGGCTGGTTCCAGTGGGAAGTCAGGTCCCAGGCTAGCGTACATTTCACTTCCCTTCTCTGTCAGGACTATGGTGGGTGGGTGGCTGTGCAGGCTGAAGCGACGTCCCTCCAGACTGCCCTCCAGTGTCATTTCTAAGTCAAGACTGTTGGGTGGGCTGAACCTGGAGCTTTCTCTGATGCATAACATTCTGTCTTCCTTTCCAGGGCAGCATGACACCCACAGGGTATGCTCTAGCCAAGTGTTTCCTCCCTTCGGAATACACAGTTTTGACCACGTACTGTGGAGCAGCCACATTCCTGGTAGTCCTCATATTAGTTCACTTGGCGCTAATACCCTCACCTCTTCATTTAGGTTGGAACCTGCTTAGAAAATACAAGACAAAGTGAAGAGCTGGAGATTTTTGCATTTAGTAATAAATATTAAAGTCAGAGAAACTGAACTCCAGGTGGTATTACTGTTAGGTGAGGCCAAAGTAGTCTGTCTCTATGCCCATCATAGAAATTCTAAATCACTGATGCAAACCACTGCAGAATAAATAGTTGATTGTACTGTTCTCATGCTATAAAAATGGAACATGTACTCTAAACAAGTCTGTTTTCTCATTTTATCAAATATATGTATAATCAAAGATTGTATCTGTACAATATGTAAAAGCTATTAATGTCATCAATTGCATGCACTAGGTAGTCTTTCCTTCCCCAGGATGGAGCCAGCAACTCTGGAACACACTTGAGATTAGGTGTCCACAGACATTGGGTTTGCTTCTGTCCTCCCATGAAGTGGTTCTCAAATTCCTGTAAATTATAAGGCTGTAAACTTAAAAGTACAGATGCTACAAGAAGTAATATATTGTTTTCACAGATTTTCATATTTTTTGTGCTAAATTAATGGAATCATATTTTTAGATAAATATAATTGTCTCTCCAGCAGAACAAGTTTTTAAATCTGAATTAAATGCTTGTCAATGACCAAATGAAGCTTGAAACATGGACTAGTAAATGTTTTGATGATTTTAAGCGAGATAAAATGTATTTTCTTGTTTTTTTTTCTCTTAAGAGTCTAGCTCTTTAACTTTTAAAAAGATAGAGAATTATTGAGTAGTAATGCATAAAACAGTATACAACACTTTTGTGTATCCGAGGGTTTATATTTTTCATTTATTCTTCATGTTTTACTTAAAAGTGCAACAGGAACTGAAAATAATTTACACGTTATATGTCTCCGTTCAAATGAGAGTTTCATGAAGCTGTTAAGGATGAGGTGTCAGAACTGGCTGATAATAAAATAAAGTGTTGCATTGACTATAAAGTTGTCATCCTGTCTTTTGTGGAAAAGTAGCATTTAAAATCTGGAAGAGCATATAGAGGATTCTAAAATTTTTATTATAGAGTAAACTTTAAAATATTAGAGTGAAGAGACTAAAAGGAAATGAATGAAGTGATGCAGGCTAGGATATCACTTCTCTGGATCTGTTGTTAAAAATATACTTTGAACATTTTTACACCTTATCTTCCAACTAAGGAAACTACCCTCAAAACTGTGGCTGTAGTGAGCATATAAAGTGTCAGTGCCACCGAGGCCTTGCATTCCAGATACTGAGCCATAATTTTTCAGGCTGTATTTGTCAATCTTTCAGGTGTGAAGGCAGCCATATAGTTTGACTTTATATTTCAAACAAAGGTTTCGTAATGATTCTTCTTCAAAGGCAGATGAAGATGTTCTCTTATGGTTCTCCTAGGCCAGACACAAGCATTGACATCTTTTGGTGCTTTCTTGCTAAAGTCTCTAAAATAGCAAAATAATCAAAAGATGTATTGCCTGGAGAGAGGAAAAAAAAACAAACCAACCAACCCTTGGTTCCCTGTGATGTTGGTACAGCATTGTTTTGTAAGATGTGTATGATTCACATGTTTAATATATGCATATGTGTATATATGTATAGTTCTATATACATATATATATAAAATCAAAGGAGTATTTTAAAAAGTACCTACCTGACAAAACATCCTAAATTCTACAGATACCATTCAGATACCATTGCTGTTTCAGAGCAAGCTGCAGATAATGTTGACATGTAGCTGTTCAGCACAATAAAAACACGTTTCTTTTACAGATTTAGCCATGATCAAGGCACAAAAATCTACAGGATTTTTCTTTAGTAGTTATACAAAATAATATTACATTTTGTGGCATGTACAGTATAACAAACCAGCAATAACAACAACAACAACAACAACAATATATGAAAGGAGACTATGGCCCAAGCAGAGTGAACTCCGGAGAATCCGTTTTGAACAGGATACACTTTGCAGTGGTGGATATGGTGGGTTTTCTGCCTGAATGTCAAAGGTTCAAAGTAGCTCTAATTCAAAGGCCTGAGGCTGGCAGTGCCTGAAAATGTAACAGACAAGGATTTCTTCCTCTCTGGCTTGGGGTGCTCTATTCTAAGACTCAGGCCCATGCAGATCAGAGGGTGCCTCTGTCCCCTGCAGCTGCTTAAAGCTGGAACAGAAGCTGTGACTCAGCATCTGTTTGGGCCTCACAACCATGCTGAATGACTAGGAAAAAAGTGCGTTTCTCCTTCTTGCCAGTCAAGTTCCTGAAGAGTCAATCGATTAAATATGAATGAATCAAAAGGGCCCCCACCTTGCAAGATCTCATTGCAGTGTCGCCCGAGGGACAGGACAAGTAGTGCAGTGACACGGGGGTGGGAGGATGTGTGAAGGTCGAGTTCAGTGGAAACTTAAGCTACAGACCAAACCCGAGGAGGACAGAGGTAGCCAGAGGCTCGGTGGGCGCACGGGACGGGCGCGGGGGAGGGGGCACGCACGCGGGACAGAGCAGGCGCCCGCCCGAGGAGGCGAACTCACGACTTCCCGGGCTCCGGCTCCGGGCTGACCTGGTAGGCCCTCTCGGATCCGGCTCCCGGCGGGGCCGCGGCAGGGGGGCCGGGGCGCCAACCCGCCGGCGCGCCTCACAAGAGTTCGTACTGCTTGAGGTGCATGCGCTGGATGATGTCGCGGCAGTCGTTGAACACCCTGCGGATGTTCTCCGTGTCCACCGCGCAGGTGAAGTGCGGGTAGCAGTAGTGCTTGCCGTCCCCGGTCGCCGTGCTGATCCTCTGCGGGAAAAGGGGCAAGCGTGTCTGGCTGTGCACCCCCTGGGGTACGGGCTCTGCCCGCCCCCCCCCCAGGAATTCCGGGCGACTAAGTCCCTTCCCAGAGCAAAGAGGGAGGGCTGGAGGGCTTGTCCTGTCTGCTTGTCGGACCCAGGAGAGCCTGGCCGCAGGGCCTGTGTAAATACTGAACACTGCTGCCAGCCCCAGAGCCTGGACCCGGACTCCTGCCCCCAGAGGCTTAGAATTTCAGCGTACAGGACATGTGACCGGAAGACAGCCACTGAAAGAAGGATTCAGGTAGGATTTTCCCACAAAGGAAGGCTCAACCAACATCTTCCAGCAACTCGTGCTGCAGAAGGTGTGGACTGCTTCATAGAATGGTGCTTAACTAACCCTTGCGCCACCAGGGAGGCCCTGAATGTTTAGTTTTAATTTTAATCAAATATGCACAAGTGGCTAGTGGGTTCTGTATGGGCAGCACCTGCTCACGTTATCTTCTGCCCCACAGAGAAGACGGTGTGCTTTAGGGTGTCTCTGGTTAGCAGTGGTTCTGGGAGCAAAGCAGTTGGTGGCCAAATAACTAGGAAACACCAGTGGATGTCATCAGTCATGGTGCCTGAGCACAGCTCAACTTCTGAAGCTAAGTGGGGTGGCAGGCAGAGAGGAAGCTAGGGGCTGAATGGTGCCCCCCATTATATGTGGAAGTCCTAACCCCAGCACCTCAGTACTCAGATTAGGATTGTATTTGGAGATAGGGTAGAAGTGATTCTGTTAAAATAAGGTCAATAGGGTGGGCCCTAATGCAGTATGAATGGTGTCTGCATAGGAAAGGAGACCTACACAGAAACTCCCACAGAGGAAGACCATGTGAGGCGTCAGGGAGAAGTCAGCCATCTGCAAGGCAAGGGGCGAGGCTCAGGAAAAACTAACCTGGCAAACACCTTGGTCTCAGACTTTTAGCCTCTGTAGACCCACACAGAAACTTCTGTTAAATTACCTACACGGTGGGACTTTGTTACCTCAGTCCTAGCAAATGAATTCAGAAGGTATTAGAGAGTTTTTGTCATAGGCGACCAAGAAATCCCTGTATGTCCCCAACTGCCATTTATTTCTTTTCTGTAAAGCATTTTGGGAAATAGTCATTGAAATTCCTGCAAGTGTGTTGTAAAAATGTTCCTCAGGTGATGAACTCCTCCAAGGAAGCAGAGATTTATTTTCAGTGATAACTGGGTTTACTCTTGAGCAATCAGAAAAACAGCTGTAATTGTGTGGATGCTAAGGTGCATAGGTTATGTCCTATTAGATGTAAAGGACCAGGTGAAGTAGGTGGCACACACACTCTGGGTGCCCTGAAAGGCTAGAGTGACTGGTCCATCTCAAACTTCTCAGAGGAAGTGCTGCTCCAGGCAAATTTCATAATAAAAAAATGTTAAGTGGATTCCCCTTATGCCATTATTTCCTTGGCTTGCAAATTGCGTATAAGCCAGGTTTTGTTCACTGTCAGAAAATAAAAGATCTGAATGGTGGCAATGTGCCCATTCATTTTGTGGGGAGTGGGGAGTAGTTCATTTTCTAATTTTTATCTAAATAATACCCACTTTGCTCATTTAGTTAACTTCAATTCTCATCGAAACAGTATTTTATGTATTACTTTTTATTTGTTTTTATATTTATGATCTTGCAAGATGGTCCTCAAAAATGGGGTCCTTGGTGTAGTACAAACGAATTTCTGTTATTAAGAGATTCACAATGCACGTTAGCACAGGAAAGGCCCCAGAAGTCTGAAGGCAGGTGCTTCTCTTACCTTAGTTGACCTCCCACCTCCCAGATAAGGCCACCACAGAGCCCTTCCTGGGCACTGCCTGCTAACTTCCCTGGGAATGCCTATGCTTTGGAACACACTTTAGGGACTTGATTTCTTATCCTTGTTACTTTCTCACTCAACATAGGCTTCAAGAGGTAACCCACAGGAGGCATAATGGCAGAAGGTAGAGAAAGGGGTTCCCGAGGAGTCGGATCCTGAGGTGCTGTCCTGCTGTGGAGGGGCCAGGGCCTACATCTCCGAGCACACAGGCAACCCCAAGTGCCATGTGGGTATTATCAGGAGTGTGCCCTTGAGTAGATCTTGGCATTTACTAGTTTCCAGTTAGTGAAAACTCAGTTACACACTAAAAATTTATAGATGCATAGATAAAACAACTATGGCCAAATTTTCCCAGCTGATCTATGTGGGTGAAGAGTACATGGGAGTTTTTTTGTACAAGGTTTTCATTTTTTATGTAAGTTTATGATTATCTAAAAATAAAAATTAAAAAAAAGAACCCACTAAGTGTCTGAATGTGAGCAAGTCCACATTCATGTTAACCTTTAGAGTTGAAAGAAGGATGAGATTTATCATAGTGTGGAGTTTCAGGCTCAGTTGGAGGATTCCATCTTTTTAGGCAACCACAAGTGAACATGGCCGGGTGGTTTCTGTGCCATTCCCAGGGACCCGTGCACAGGGAGGACAGTGCTAGATTCCTGTTCCTGCGTGAGAGCTGTGTGACCTAAGGTGAGACGTCCAACTGCTCTGAAACCCACTGTGCTCAGCTGTGAGTTGAAGTAAGGATATTACTCTCATCTCCTAATTTGGGGAGAAGTTAAATAAGGGCATGAAAATGAAGTAATTTCAAATTGCAAAGAACAATGTAACCGTAAGGTGGCAGGAAAAACAAAGACTGAAAAAGTTGCCTACCAGAAACAGGTCCCGGATGAAGAACTTTGCTCTTGTAACTTTGGGGTCTTCTCCCGCATCTGGGGTTGCTGTAGAAGTTACAAATGGAGTTTTATTTCAGCAATGTGAAACAAAGATATGACTAATTCTACAGAAGTTATTAAAGGAATGACTCCTAGCATAAAACCACATAAGAAGTGAGACTGTCACTTCATTCCCTTCTCTCAAATCATTTACCTGTTATAGCACTGATAGAACTTTTTCTTGGTTTGGGATAACTTCTACTCAAACAAAATGAACATCTCTGATTGAATGCTGTCACCTGTATAGCACTTGGGGAAGCTTCCTGAGATCTGGGAGCGAGGCCTTGTCCTGTGGTGGTCTCAGGAGGCTGTGCTCCTCTGGGCTGCCCCCTCCCATCAGCACTGTTAGGCCTCTTCCCTATTCCTGCCTCGGACTCAGGTATTTGGAACCCCTGAGAGAAATAGAGCGGAGTGTCCTCTAAGCATGGAGGCTGCAATGTCCACTGTGAATGGAGGGAAAATCACAGGCTCACTGAGCACAAAGGCAGGAGGAGCAAGACTTTGGCATTCCCTTGCCAGACCAGGTTTGGCCTCAGTATATAAGATTAAGCCAGAGTGCACAGGGCTCACATGTGTGAGTTATGGTTGTGCTCTGATAGAAGTTCAGAGAAAATCCTGGTTAGGTCAATGGTCAGAAACAGGGAGCCTGGGCAGGAAGCTGCATTGACCAGATCCGTGACTGAGATCAGGAGTTGAAGGCCTGAGAAGGCCAGAGGAGGAAATAATGAGGACCATGCAGCCATGGACATTTGGGAGGTGAGCTGCAGTTTGTTTGGCTCTTGGCTGAATGGGGGCCAGGGACAGGGCACTGGTTACAGGAAAAGTTAAAGAAGACCCAGTTGCTGGGAGAAGCGTAATGCCAACCTAAGAGCAGGAGACAGCAGTGCTTGGAAATGTCCCTGAGGTGCGCGGCACACGACCAGACTCTTGGAAGCATACCCCAAGACTGGCTGTGGTGAGGGCACACAATGGCTAATGTTCTTGACTGAGGTTTCTAGGAAAGTTCCTCTGATTTTGAGTATCTAGTTTGGGAGTCAAGTGTTTAGCCACACTGTCCAAAGGAAAGCATGAGAACAAGAGAAACCTGCACATAGTGTCACTCTTAGGGTTTGGTGTGAAGGTCAAGGGCCCAGCAACACACCTAGTCAGGGCAGCACGAGCCAGAGCTCACCCAGCAAATGACATACTCACACCCAGGAGAAAGTGCCCTTTCTCCTGCTGTACAGTTTGAATGGAAAGTTAAACTCTGAAAGTTTGACAAGTGGAATCTAAAATGGACATTTTGATCCTCTAGGATTGTAGGATGGGGCAGTAGGAGAGAGGGTTAACTTAAACTAACTGAATTTTGTTAGATTCATGGGAATTACAGTCATGTGTTTCTTAATGAGGAGGATGCATCCTGGGAAATGGCAGTGCTAGGGACTGCGTCACTGTGGGTAGGTCACAGAGTGAGCTCACACAGACCTAGGCCGTGCGGCCCGTGCGGCCCGTGTACACCTAGGACGCATGGAGAATAGCCTGCTGGGACTGCTGTCAGGTGCGCGGGCCCCTGTGACTGACACATCATAAAGGGATACATGACTACAAGTTATAGGGCTGCAGAGAAAACAATTCTATTTCTTAAGCTTGAGACACTTGTCTTAAAACCTTACCATCTTCAGGAACAGTATAATTTGCATACTCTGGGAAATAGTCTTCAATTTTTGATTTTCCTGCCAAGACTTTTTCTGCCAACATATCTTGTTTGTTTAAGAACAAGATGATAGAAATGGTCCGTAACCACCTGAAAAGGAGAAATAAACACACACATTTCACACCCACTGCTATGTGAAAGTATCTCTAACTTAGAATGAAAAGACATTTCCATCTTCCTGAAAATGTATAGGATTTACAATGATTTAAAGTACTAAGAGCTCACGTCCCCTGTCTGCAAGCAAGTCGTTCTTACAATGATGAACAAGTAAATACAGATATCTGAGTTAGTTGTTCAGTACTTTCTAAATCAGCTGCACCGGGGGTACAAATTTACTGGCACCAAAGCTAAGGTTTACTTTTGGAAAAAATACACATGGATTTTTGTTGTGTGATTCACTTATAAAGGCTCAGAAAATGAGAAGAAAGTATTGACAACAGCAAAATACATGCCTCATTCACAAATCACATGGAACTTAATTTGAGGCTGGCTTGTTTCTCTTTCCTGAGCCTCTGAACAGGCCTGAGGTGCTCCAGATGTGGAGGAGGATGCTAATCAGAGCTAGATGGACATCACTGCACTTGACCTGACAGGCTAAGGGGAGGGGCTCAGGTACCAGGAAGGTGAAGGAGGGAAGGTTCTGTGTTTCATTAAATAGAAGCAGAGAAATGGCTTAAGATGAGTTCAGCTGTGCAAATCAATGAAGCTTCTGGAAATTCTATTTCTTCAAAGGAATCAAGCTGACTGATTAGTGCATAAAATCTTACTATGAATTAGAAACATAGCCCATCCTCCCCCTAGTGAAAATAGTATTATTGTCTCTGCTAGTTATAACACATAATCCTTGTAAAACAAATCTTTAATTATAGAAAAAAAAAACCCAAATGTCATTCACCTAGAGACAATTACTATTATAAGTTTTATGTTTTTACTTCCAGGTCTTTTTTTCTGTCCTTATACATAAAAATAAGATCCTGGTGTTTAAAAATTTGCTTTTTCATTTAACAATATTGTGGGCATTTTCACATGTGACTTATATGTGTATGCATTTACATACCTATAAATTTTTAAAGACACCAAAAATTCTTATATATACTTAATATTTCCAGACCCATTTTTTTCTTTCCCGTTAATTGTTTTAATGCTATACAACTGAGAGCAGTTATTGAACAATGAATAGAGATTTTCTGATAATCCAAACCTTTTGCAAGGTCAATATAGGTTCACCGTCCTCCTTGGTGATAGCTCTTCCTAAATATTTCAGAATAAACTTTGATATGCAATTACATATGCATGATTTTTTGTGTGTATGTACACACATGTGTGTTTGCTAATATCCCTTTCCAGAATAATACTTCTCCCACTTTGTAACATTAGCAGTTTCACAATATGCTGTGCTTTTGAACTGTAAGGGTCTTAGAGACAAGCTAATTTTTGGTGGACCAGCTAACTTTAAATTGGGACATTCCAAATGTAAAATTTAGAAAATTAAAAACCAAACAAAACCAATTTTGAACTATCTTTGTTCTTAGGCTTTCAAAACAGATTTAGACTTTCTTGACAAAGCACAGAAAAGAGCTTCATCAATGAGTACATACCCCATTTTCCCATTTTAAGACTGTCTATACATTAAATGGACTGAAAGAGATACTGCTTATGGTTTTGGATTTATCAATAAAGAAGGAACATATCTGAAAAGTAACAATGAAAATGAGCTGAGTGTTTTTTTTTTTTTTTTTTTTTTTTGTGGGACCCTCGCCGGTGGCCAGGGATCGAACTGGCACTGCAGAGGCTGTGGGCAGCCTCGCAACCTAGCGCTCAACCGCTGCGCCACCAGGGGAGGTCCATGAGTGTGTTTTTAATGAAAGAGAATTTGCAATCAGGGGTGAGATTGAATTTATTATTTTTATAACCTGTTGTTCCAGATGCTTTCAAAAAGGTCCAGGGACTCTCTCAGCCTGTTGGTGTTGTTATCTTCTCGAATCACCATGTTGTAGCTGCTGCAGGCGGCGACATAGATGATAGCAGTGACATCTTAATGGGAGGAGAGAGAAAAAGAAGTCCCTTAAGTACACAGACAGCCGCTGTGGCATTCTGATAAAGAACACTAACTGCTACTGATCTGCATGGTCTTCCCTCTGTGATTAGGAGACTGACTTGAAAAAGCACTGTGTGCTTAATTGGTTGTTTCATCATTTACTCAACCAAGAGTCTACCTGAATTAGCCAGTGATAAATGTAAATTCTGGATTCTTAAATTATTTACATATGAGATTCACACGGAATGAAGACATTTTACAGAGGAGCTAATTCAAATCTATTTAAACACAACAGTGAGTGTGAGAATTTAGTCCCATTTTCTTGAAAAGCATAGAAATCACCATTGAAGCACTGGATCCATTTTCTTCTCTCGTCCCTCTGTCCACCGACATCAAACATGCTGTGGAAGAGCAACAGGATGACTGTTATTTGGGGGAGAAGGGAAATAGTGCACAGGCCTGTGCCTTCCTCTTTGGCCATCTATTCCCATGACTCTGCTCCCTGAGTGCTCCACGAAGACTGTTCAAACCGCCATGCACTTCTGCACCATCCTGCTGCCCGCTGGGCACATACCTGTTATTTCTCTGGGTCGCAGCCCTCATTCCAAGGCCCCCAGGTTCAGGCCACCCTCTCCAGGCAGCCCGAGCTGTGCATACCTGTGCCTGAGTGGCTTTTCCGCTTTATTTCCTCACACCTATCCAACAGTGGCTGGGTTTTTCCCCTTTCTCCAACTCTCAGATTCCTTTCTTCCCGAAACTTACTGAATATACTTTAGAACCAAGCAGTCTGGATTCACTCATTTGAAATGGTAGTGATGCACCTTTGTGATTCTTCTTCCTGTCCCAGTGCCTGGAGGCGCTGGCCATATTCCTGGCCCACACCCTATGGGATTCTTGCCCTTACCTCCATAGGAGGCCATGCTTCCAACACACTCACTGAAAGTTTACTTTATCCACTTGGAACCGCGTCTCAAAAATCCCTGAAGTCAGAACTCTGCATCTGAGAAGATCCTAAGAACAAAGACAGAAAAGCAAAGCAAGTGACATCATTGTTCTCCTTCACAAGGACAGACCTGGCTGCAACCACAGTAACAACATGCACTGCAAAGGAAACAGTAAGAAGGAAAAATTCAGGCAAAAGCTCAGTGTTTCACTCCTAAGAGAAAGTCATAATGTATTGGTTGGGTCTTGACTTGATAGCTGAGCTTTTATCTTCCTTAGGAATGCATCCCCTGGTTGTCCAATACCGGACAACCAAGTTGCATGCTTCCTGGTCTGGATCTTCCACTGTGGCTGGGGAGCTGAGCCCAGGGTTCAGCATCATCTGGGTGAGAAACCAAAGTGAGCATCTCTGCATTCATTCATAAATCATGGACTGGATGTTAGTTGATTTTAGATTTACCTTCTTTCTGGCATATATCTATTAAAGATAAAAGATGATATGGTCTTAAGGGATTGAAGAAGCCACATAGATGCACAAAGGTGACATCTCTGTCAGGTGTCAGGGCTTCCTTTCTGCCCCAAGACATTGCCAAGGAGGCAGTCATTCGGGATAATTCTGGAGGGAGGCTGTCCTCCCTTCTTGGTCTGAGGGAAAGTATTCAGGACAGCCTGGAGGGACTGACTCAGACCAACATTGCTTGGTGGGAAACTTTGAGCTCTTGGAGTCAGTCTCTGAAACAGGTGGACTTCAGGGAAAAGTGAAGAGCTCAGAATTCTGAGGAAGCAGAGAGAAGAGAGAGTGGTCAGCAGGGGCCAAGGCAGGTCCTCCAGAGGACAGGCATGGGGGGGTGGGGCAGAACCTAAATTTCTTGGAGTTCACTAGCTCTAGAGATGTCCTGGGGCCTCCAGGGTAGAGCAAGGCAGAGTTCTTGTCAGCAAGTCACAGAAGGTCCCTCTCTACTGCAGACCAATATGTAGTGGACACTTTTCTCTGGCTGAACCCAAATGAAGCCCTCTGTGTGTGTCACACCTACAGTGTGTGCTGTGGTCCACGGCCTAGCACTGGGGCCTAGCAGAGTTTCTGAAGTTTCAGAGTTTCTGAAGCTAGGGATGTAAGGGCTTTGTTTTCTCTTGATGGCTGGAGGAGGAATGGGAGCTGCATATTCCTATTCCTTAGATAAAATAATTTCAGGGGGCATGCTTAGAAAGAAGTAAGTTGTAGAGTGCTCAGTCAGGACACAAGTCACAGGGCACAGACAGCAACATGTGCCCAAGCAAGTTCAGCGTAACCTGCAAGTAGGTGTTACTGTGAGGGTTTCCTTCTTAGTATGTTTTAAAATCGCCACTGGATAATACTGGAGCTCCCTCTGATCTCTCGAGTTTCTGAAGTGTGGTCGCAGGCTCCAACTGAACCTACCTGGTCTGTGGGCGTGTAGTCCACCAAGCTGACACTGTCAATTCTTTCCAGGAAGCTGAAAAGGAAGCGACATGCACTCAGAAGTGTCTCACATGCCTTGTGGCTGCAGGGTAAAGTAATGGGGCAGTCACATGAGCACAGCGTGGTGGGGGCAGCAGAGAAGCCAAGGGGTGTTCCCACTTTCTGTCCTGATGAGGCACCTGCTTAGACAGTACAGCATTCCCGACAGGGAGCTAAGGCTGCTTTCATTTTTCTTCTTTACCTCTCTGCCTTCCCTCTTCTTGTCTGCTGCTATTTGGCTGGGTGGGGAAAGGCGCATGGGACCTCCCTTGCAAGGCTAATCTAGTAGAAAAAGGCAGTGCTACAATATATTGATAAATACAGATGCGAGGAGAGAGATGTTCCTTTAACATATTAATACATGTGCGTGCTTCTGTGCATGTTAACAGGTCACGTTAACAGGTTTAATGTGGTGTGCACACCTGGCAGCAGCTAAGAATATGTGGATGGATGCAGTCTGATGCAGGACACAAATAAAGGGAGGAGAAGTAACCAAGGAACTTATTGTATCTGCAGGTGGAAGAAGACAGGAAAGCACGGGACACCCATGGACTCTAACTCTCTTTTTTGAATCATTCCTTTCATCTCCCTGCAGAGAGGCCACCCTGACTAAGTGGAAATTTATAAAGGAAACTTCAAGTAAAATGATGCTGAGAAGGCCTGTAGAGGGAGTTCTTCCGCATCATCACAGACATCCTTTGCACACACTTCCCCGCTGGAAGCGCAACCCAACGGAAGATTCAACCTGCCCAGCAGCAAACCCACCAGGAAGAAGCACTGTGGTCCATCAGTGAGATGCTAGAAGAATGCTGGTGGAACTAGAGAAGCTAGTAGAACTGCCCATAGACTTTCAACTAGAACAGCTCCTCCCAACCTCCCCTTTTCATGTCTAAAAGCAAGTTCCCTCCTTTGTTTCCCAGGGTTTGCCTTTGGCTCCATCAGAGCTTGCATATCCTGACTGCAATTCCTCTGCCATTCCTGTATCAACACATTTTGATGGTGAAATAATTGGTTGTTTCATTTTTCAGATAACATACCTCATCTAAAATAGCACCTCTGTCCAACCTGCACAACCTGATTTATTTTCTACATAGTATTTATCATGGTCTGAGATACTTCAGATTTGATTAGTTGTTTATTAGCTGTCTCTTCCTCCAAAATTCAGGACCCACAGCCAAGTCTTTGTCTTTCTGGCTCAGGCATCCTTAGCACCTAGCACAGGTCTGGCTCCTGAATACCTGTTAGACGAATGGATGTCTGCGCCCCTCTTTCCCCCACGGCCGGGAAGTGAGTGGGCAGGTGCTTTACAGGCCCAGCCCACAATGGATACCAAGAAGATTTTCAAGACACAGGCAGACATGGGGACTGGTTAACTGGTGACAAAGCACCATATCTGGAGAGATAGGGAAAAAGGGAAGGAGCGTGTGTGCGGAGAGGGAAGTGGAATGGGCTGAGTGGCCTGTGCTCTCCTGGCTACGTATGTCCATGTGACCAGAGAGGTTCACATTGGGGATAATACATGTGACCTAGACTAGAGGAACAGGGTGCCTGTCCACCCCTGCCTGGATGCTTTGGGCTGTGTCAGTGGTGTCTGAAGGAAAGCAATGATCAGTCCTTCCTCTAAATCCATACACTAAGGGCGTGTTTGCACATGGAGGGGAGGTGTTACTGCAACATCTCCACATGCTGCCCCCAGCAGCCTGTGCTGCAGCTGCTTTAAGCACGGGCAAGAGGGAAGTCAAACAGTAGGACCACTTAATTCCTTTGGCCATCATCGCTCCTTACGGGAAAGTTAAAGAAAGCCGGGGTGCTAGATGATATTTTAGGGGCCCCCCATTGGCACACCTTCAGTGTGGCACAGGACCCAGCTGCTCCAGAACCAAGACCTTAATGCTGCAGGCCGGGGTCCACCATAGCAGGTGTGCATCAAGCAGAATGGAAGAAGAGCAGGAGCGCATCTGCTGGTGACAGGGATGTCCTTTCAGAGATAGAAAGCAGTGGGGGCAGTGCTGGGAGTGTGGTCATCTCGGCAGGAAGAAACTCAGTGTGTCTGTGGAGGGCAATTTGTTTATCTTCTCTGCCTATTGTGGAAGGTTTCAGAGGAAACCTCTGGCTCTCGGAGAAGGCTGCAGAGTTCTGGCCAAGTGGCAAGACCTTTGAGAAATGAAAGCAAACCTGACATGCTGGTAGACACTCTGGAGGTGGCACTGGGCGCTCTGGTAATGCCGCTGTGACCGTAAGGTAGCTGAATTGGCCCAGGGGAGAAGTGGTACTTTGGGAGGAGGAGCAGGAGACTGCTGGAGCACAAAACATCTCTGGAAGTGCCACAGGAGGGGGCAGCCTGAGAGCTAGAGATGCAAGGGAGTCTCCCGGACTGGTATGTGTGTGTGTGTGTGTGTGTGTGTGTGTGTGTCCTGCTTGCCGGAGGCCTGGTTTGAAAACCACAATGCTTTTGGGCTTAGTCCTTCTTGGCCTTGAATTCAGTTGAGTGCAGAGTGCCTTGAAAGTACACACTGCCTTGAAAGTACACACCATCAAGCAGGAAAGGAGGAAAAGATTCTAATGAAGTGAGACAGGGTTCTGCCTCTCGAAAGGGAGCTCTGGACTGCAGCCCAGGCAACTAGGGGGTTTCCTGTGGGGACAAAAGCTGCCCCCCCACACCTCCTGGCTATAATCATTGATTCACAAATTATAGGGGACATAGAATATTGAACAAGTGATACAGAAATGACTCATCTCCAATTAAAACGACTGAAAGAAACTGAACATTAAACTAAATATGAAGCCTTTGGTTATAGTTAAAGTTTAGGAAGGAACCAATTTAAAATAGGATGCACATAGGGTGGAGGTAGGTGGATGAATTTATTCAGATGATAATAACTAATATAAGTAGAAACAATGAAATGAGGTTAACAAAAAATACATCAAAAGTTCTTGATAGATGTGATTAAAGACTGCCTTCCAAAGGAAGTGGTGGGAGTAGCTTCCTGAACATTATTAAAAATAAGTGGTTCTGAGATGCTGATGACAAAGGCAAAGATGTCAAGTTCTTTTCCTATCCCTAACCTCCAGGATGGATTCCACAATTCTTTCCAGTTCTGATACTCACTGATCTAAGCATACAGGAGAGGCATCAATGGAGATTTCCAGGAGCTATCTTCTAAACTGTTATTAATGCTGAATGGTATTCTAATGTCCTAGATTATAGGTTTTTGCAATTAAAAATGTGAAAATTCACCCCTGAATGTGAATGTGTCCTCCAGTTCTCTGAAATACTCTTTAAGGAATAAAGGAACTAAATAAAAATTGATAGCAATAAAATGCTGCCAGCCTTTGCCTTAATGCTTCATTCAATCAGCATATTTCCCAACACATTGTAGAAGTACTTAAAATTAGAATTCCTAAGATAATATATGGAGATGAATTTTAAGAGTGTTCTAAATCATACACAGAATTTCAAATGACTTACATTTTAAGCAGTTAGTAATATTGTTTCCTTAAATAAACCACTGCCTGTTAAACCAGATTACCACATCAAGGACTCCCCCTTATAGACTATTTGCTCACACTAGACAGAGCTCAGACAATACCAAACTAAAATTGTAAAAATTGTCTTTCAGTATGGATACTAAAGAAGAGGCTAAGAAACAATTTGATTTTTCCCCCATTTTTTTTCTGCCATGGTCAAGGATATTCATGTTTGCAGAAGCATTTTATTTTCATCATTTAGATGTTTGATGTTGGCACAAAGTAACAATTTGTTATTTCACATCGCTGTCTGCTACCTCACTGAAATAACTCAAAAATCACCTCTGGCCATGGAATTGATCATGAAGAGGGATAAGGGGTCATGAAAAGATGAACTCCAGCAATACCTCTATTAGGTATTTATCCAAATGATGTGAAAACTTTAATACAAAAAGATTTATCTATGCCTACATACATAGCAAAACTTTTCCAATTGTCAGGTCATGGAACCAACCCAAGTGTCCTCAACAGATGGGCAGAGAACTCAGTGGAGTACTACACAGCTGTGGAGAAACATGAAACATTGGCATTTGGGGGAAATGGGAGAATCTTGAGGTGACTATGTTGACTGAAATCAATCAAAAAGTGAAAGGCAGATATTGGATGGTTTCACGCATCTTTGGAATATAAATACACAAAGAACAATTATATACAAAGAATAGAGGGAATAGGGTCTTTGTGGTGGCACAAGGGATTAAGTCTCAGCACTATGAAGCTATCCGCAGCTACTGCAGCATGAGTTCGACCCCTGGCCAGGGATCTAACCCACATGGCACAGTAGACCTCTACTGACTCGCCCGCTGCTCCCCTCAGCAGTGTATTTCAGTCAATCTGCCTGTTGTGCTCCCCACTCTGTCTCTGGTGAATCCTCTCACCCATCCCCTACCACCTCTGGCCTATATCCCAGCTCTTGTATGCATTAATAAATAAATCTTTAAAAAAAAAAAAAAGAACAGAAGGAATAAAAGTTGAACCTGGCAGTAAGAAAATAATGATTACCAGAGGGAATGGGGGAAAAGGGTGGAGAAAGAGGCATGGGTGGTTTGGTAGAGGGAGAAAAAAAAAGAATAGCAATACATCACTTTTATAAAAGGCCCCCTATCACTTTTCAAACTACAAAAGGAATAGCCTGTTAGCTGGCCAGAGATACTGGTCAAACCTTTCCCACTCCCTCTCCCCTCTCCCCTTCTAATAGTCCTTCTTTGGAGCAGTTTAGAATTTAACTCATCTCTAACATGTCTCAGGTTTTAAAATCCAACAGTCCACACCTGTCCCTTTCTTCCAAAAAAGGGGGGGAAAAGTCCCCAAAGGAAGCATGAGAGATTAAAGTTGATGAGGCCCCTGCAATGCAAGGAAGGCTCATTTTCAGGATTACTCCTCCTCCCAGTTGCCGCTGAAACACTGGCATACGTCCATATGCCAACTGTGTTTGTGTGTGTATCTCATTATTGAAGGGTTACTGAAGATTTCTGTCTCCCATCGCATGCCGATGAGGGCTCATGCTGAAGAGTAAGTCATTATAATAATAGTAATTAAAGCCTCAGCTTTGATCACAAAGACCTCAGTTCAAATCCTGATGCACCACTAACTGAAGTTACACTGCTAACAAGACCCAGATTGTTCTATGTTACAGAGACGTTAAGAGGATTAAATGAAATATCCTCATAATATGGACTGGCTATCACCGCAAGAGCAAAAATAAGATTTTATTGTATTACTATTCATTTCTAACTATTTTCAGAAGGAAGAACACAATTGGTTTATCAAAACCAATTAATAGCGACTATGTGCAAAACACTATGCCAGACATTTAGAAGAAATAAAAAAAAAAAGATGAAAACTACTCTGTTAAATGCCTGGGAACAACTGGTACTGAGAAAACAATTTAATTAGGATGGATTTAAAAGTATACAGCAAGTGGTAACTGACAAGGGAAGTAAAAAAAATTTTTTAGTGTGTAACACATTTAATTCATTATGTTTATTTATGTGATATAAAGACATCGTTGAAGAAAAATGTTAGCCACGGTGACAAAGTCCAGGCAGTTCTAATATGAAGCAGGTTAAGATCCTGCCACGTAAAAGATGCTCAGACCAGCTGCAAGAAACCTCTGGAATCAGAATTGGTAGCTGAACTCAAGACACAGGTGATTGACCATAGGATCCCCAGGTGACGGCGCACATCAGCATTTCGCAGGCACTGTGCCTTTGCTCTGTTTCTACTGTGACCTACTTATCTCTTTCCACCTGGACAATACTTTCTGATGACTCATCCTCCTGCTTTTTTCCTCAGGGTAAAGTCCATACTTTTAACCTGGCTTCAACTCCCGTTAAATCTCCAAGTTATTTTAGGTCTCTCGGACTTTTGCGCAATTCTCACTTATAAAAAAAAAAAAGAAAAAAAGCCTCCAAGATGCTAACTACCACGGATGCTGTCTGCCTATCTTCCTGTATTTACTGTGTCCAGGATTCAATGATCATGGGGAAGGTGAAGTATAAAATATGAAGTATGTAAAGTCACTAATCTTTGGTACCCATCTTGATGGCTTTTTTTTCACATCTGTTTACACCCCTGGACATTTTCCTCTTTATGTGGGTGCCCTATTCACTTCATCACTGAATGCCATTGAAGCAGAAGCAGGCCTTTGATCTCTAGAAAGAAGCAGTTTCAACACCTGATATATTTTAGGCTAAATCTTTTAGTCATTCTGAATAAACACTGCAAATTTATCTGCTCTGACACTATTCAGGAGGGAGAGGAGGTGTCTAAATCCCAGAGAGCAGGGGCAGACAGTTTAACTTACAGATGTGCTGCCGCACATAACCCGGCCCTGGTGTGCACCCATAGCAGCTGTCTTGCTACCTGAGTCATCTCTGCATCATCAGAGAACACTAGGCATTATCTCGAGCGAGGGCACCAGCTATGCATTCACACTGGACTTGGGACTAGGAGTCCACCGTGCTGGACCAAACCAGGGCCAGCACTAATCATGGCCAAGAGAACCTGGGCCTGCTCGGTATGGAATACAGCATTAGTTGTAGAAAATCCTAGGTCAAGCAGGGATTTTATTAATACCAATCACTGATTAAAATAAAAAAAAAATTGTCTCTGTTGACCAGTTTGTTTAATATGCACGGACTTGTACCTTTGCCACTTAACTACTGTGGTTTTAGATTTTAGCTACAGACACACACCCAGGAAGGTGTAGTGTGTACAGTAGAAGCCTAGAGCATAAGGCCCCTCTTTGCCTTTCAATGTGAGACTGACAGCTGACTCCGAGACTACGTCCAACTGGCAAGATTATCAGACGGTGGGTGTGCCAGTGGCTATCCAAATCAAATAGCAATGTGGGTAGTGTCCAAGCCTCACAGCATGCCTGTCTAAAAGGCACACATACATACTATCACTACTTCAGGAACAAGCAGTTCTCATCAGAAAGTTCTCTGACAGCGAACATAGCACCTAAATGAACAGAAATAAACTAGTTTATGAAATAATTTGAACATGCATCCTAAATTCATGTCCCAAATTGTTCCTTTAAAAGCAGAAAAATTAAAAAAAAAAAGTTATACTAGTAGTCACATGGAAGATTGGTATGTTTTGTATGCTTGAGTTGGACACTTTCATAAATTATATTCCTCTTTGGCCTAGGGAAGTTTCAATATGAGGAAGAACCTTGTTGCCATAAAGAAACTATCACAATAAAGAAATAATATACAGGGCTTACAGAAATACGCAAGAAATGTCATGGTAACTAAACAGAAATTCAGGTGGTAAGGGTGACTACAGAAAAATACTGTACTTTCTGAACCAAATCTATGACTGAATTTTTTCTCAAATAACTTTTCAATAGGACGCACACTCAGATGCAGTAACATATAGTTTTAGATGATTTATTTGACAAACTTCTATGGTTTACATTTCAGCATTTCATCAACTGCAAGAGTGAGGAAATAATTCATGGGTCTGGTATGCGTCTGAAAATAATATTTATGGTTCATAAAATGTACATTCATATAATTTGAAATGAATAGATCTTAAGAAAGTTCAAGCATATACAAGCATTGTTTAATCTCACAAAATATATTAATTTTGTTAGGGCTGTTTGCACTATAAAAGGGTATTCAATTTACCAAAGGCTTCAACACTAAGCTATCTTTTAAGTTGTAATTGTTTTTTTCAGTCTAAAGGGGGGGGGTGGTCACAACTCATGCTGTGTTCACACAGCTGCCTCTGTGCAATCATGTGGATGAGAGCAGACGCTGAAAGGCGCAAGTTTGAGAAAGATGCTGGGCAGACAATAGACAGGTGTCCTTTACAGAAGACATTGGAACAACATCCAGTCAGATAAAAAACACTTAAATGTGAGGTAAGTCCTCATTGCCTGACACCTGTTCATTTTTTTTAAACATATTCATTCACACTGGAAAAACATGGTACAGTGGTGAAACTTGGTTACGAATCTCTCAAGGGGCTTGGAAGAGCCCCTATAATTATTTTCTGAAATACTGGAATTCTCTGAGAAACTTTCCAGTGAAGGATAGGGAGAGTGAAAAAAATCCTTATGTATTTAACTTAGATAGTATATTTGCCGAGGCAAAAGCCAAGTCTCTGTTTTCCATGTCTTGAGGCTACGAAAAAGTGGTGGTTATACTTTTGAGTTTGATGTTTAAGAAAGATGGATGGCAGTGAAGTGGGCTCTTGCCTCACAGGGTCAAGCCTGCTGTCCAATCCTGCTTACATCCTTCTTTCCAGAATTCCAGCTGATCCATGTGTAGTCATTATTTCCATGGCTACATAAAAGATTCCAAATTATAGTCCCAATATTTTTAAAGACTGGTTGCTTTAAGACAAAACAATACATGCAAATAATGAGAACTTAAAAAGCAGTCCTAACTTTATTTATATTTTTGGTGGCTAAAATCTTAAAAGCTACAGCACAGTGCCAGGATTTTCTCAAACCAATCAACAGTTCTTTGGCAATGTTGCAGTGAGTAATGTGACTGCCATGCTAATAAGCACACTTGACAGGCAGCCGAAAGTGTTGAAATAGGAAAGTAATTAGAAATATGCTAGAGCTCACTTGAAAGAAACTGTCATGTTAAATCCTGTCTTTTAAAAGGTTCTTTAAGTAAGCAATTTTTCTTTAAAACAAATGGAACTTGTGTGGAATTTTTCCAGTTATAAAAAGAAAACCACCACACAGAAAATTTACAGAACATCAACAGTAAGAGCACTATGCAAAAATGTCTGTCCAAAGGTAATTTTAGCATAAATTAGAACAGATTAAGTCAATTGTAGTCTAAATTTGAGTTTAAAAAACAAAAGATACACAGAAACAGAACTGTCCATTAAATAAGCTGAACAAGGAGTTCACAGTCCCGTAATCGTTTCCCCCTTTTTATTTTTTATGTACCACGTGGCAATTCTAGATATCATTGGTTACACCATATTAAAAAATAAAACACTTCAACTCTGATAATTCAAGCAGAAAATTGAATACAGGAGAACGAGAGTTTTGACCCTTTTTTTAAAGATTCACATACACCAATTCAGCTAGTTCTGTTAAAAGGCAGTTATAAAAATACACACCATCACAAGCTGTACTGAACTTTAAAATACAGATAGGAGTGGAGAACGCTAGGAATTTCTTAATGTATCTGGAGCGCACTGTAAACCCGAAGTAGAAGCATTTCAGCATTCTGGCACGTTCAGAGTTTCTAGTGTATAGTGTATCTCTAATATCCACAGAGCATTTCAGAAGAAGGAGATGGCCAGAAAACCTCAGAGTGGGTTTCGTCATCACACTTGATCCCGCAGGCGGGCCAGTCTCTGGGATAGTTCATCCTGCTCGGCCGAAGCCACACTCGTGCCCACGGAGCCGGTCTGCCCCTGCGGCAGCTCCATGTTGAGGTCGAGGCCGGCCTCGTCTGCCATTTCCTGGAGCAGCATATCCACTTGGTTTTGGGGAGTGGTCAGCGTCGTCGTGCTGCTCATCGTGTCTTCCATTTGCTGCGTCTGGACGTCCAGCGTCTCAAACTGGTGCTCGAATTTGTCCATCAAGGCAGAAATCTTCTCCAGATTCATGGTCTTCAACGTCGCGTCCATCGACTTCACCACACCGGCCATCGACTTGGTCACCTTGCCCATCGTCACCGCTGTCTGGACTCTGGCAGCCACCGCGTCAACCCGCGCACTCATTCTCAAGAAATTCACTGCCTGGTTCTTTTGGCGGATGGCGTTTTCGGCGTGTATCCTGGCAACTTCCATGTTGCCCTTCTGAATGGCCTTTTTAATTTTGGCCTTTTCGGCCTTTTCCTCCTTATCGCATTTTTTGGCACTCCTGCTCAGTTCTTTGGCCGCGAACTTCAGGTTGAACAGGTGTTTCTCCATGTTGGACATAGTCGGACGGTTCCCCGGGGTCGGTGGCCAGGGCTCAGACACACACGGAAGGGACGCGGTAAGAGGCAGGTCCGCTCCCGGCCGCCGCTCCTTTGTTTTGGTCTCACTTCCTGTTTCTGCGGAGCGCGGCGCAGGGATGACGTCAGAGCCTAGCGCCGGGGGGAGGGAGGGGCGGGGCCCTCGGGACGCACGGCGCCAGGCCCACGGGACGCACGGCGCCGAGGGGCGGGGCCGCGGCGCGGACAGCGCCGACGGGGTGGGGCCGCGGGGGACGCACCTCCCCGGGGGACCCCGCCTGAGGCGGCTGGGCTGGGCACCCGGGCCGGGCACCCGGGCCTGGCCCCCGCGGCCTGGCCTTCGGTGTCGCCGGGGCTCGCCACCGCGCTCGTTTTCTACGCCTAGTTCCATTTCGTCTTTAAATTATTTGGACGTGGGCCTCCCCCGGTGGCGCAGCGGTTGAGCGCTGGGCTGCGAAGCTGCCCGCAGCCTCTGCAGCGCCAGTTCGATCCCCGGCCACCGGCGAGGGTCCCACATGGCGGGACAGACCTCCCCTGCCTCGCCCGCTGCTCCCCTCAGCAGTGTATTTCGTCATCTGCCTGTTCTGTTCCCCACTCTGTCTCTGGTGAATTCTCTCACCCGTGCTTCTCACTGTACCCAGTGCTTGTATAAATAAATAAATAAATAAATCTTTAAAAAAATTATTTAGACATTAGTAAGTAGACAAAAATTGGCGTCTACATATACATACATGCCTTAGGTAGCTAAGGTGGACAGCTGTGTCTCGCGCTGCATATAAAAATATCCGACTTCAGATTTAGTCGGTTTAGAGTGTCTGACTAGTGGGCTTAACACCACTCACTAACAGGTGTGCAGAATAAAGATTTCTTTATTTGCATGGGCCACTTCCATGTACTCAGAGGAACCTGAAAAGGTTGGCTCACTAAAATGTTAAAAAACAAAACAAAAGCTCTAGCATGGACCCGCATCTCGATCTTTGACTCCATTTGGGGCTGCAGTCCCGTGTGATATCCCTTCTTTGTCATCGCTGAAAATAACTTCCACACTGTGGACTCCTGCATTTTCTACCTGCAACTGGAAGTTCAGCTTGCCAGTAGCCAATAACTATCATCTGAAAATCCTCATACGGTGTAGTAATGAAAAGACCCACCTTTTGCTGACATGATTCTATTTGATATTTTATAAAAATCCAAGGAACTTCACTCACATTTAAGTCTGACAGGCGAAATTGTCATTTTAAATTAGGCAGGCAGAGAATCAAGTATTGAGACCCACACCCACTGGCACACAGCAAAACTGTCACTATGTATTACACCCCTTAAACATGCGGGCTTTTATATGGCAACAAGTGTGCTGTGGCCTTTTTTCTTTTAGAATGATCACAGATACAGCAATAACATAACAGGAAGGCCCAATCTGCCTGATTCTCTTTGGTGATGACTGGATTCTAGACTCCCACTATCCCTTTCGCCCCCTGTGGTAACTTGCCAAAGTTCTTGTACCACAATGAAAGAAGTGCCTTTATCACATGCATCTCCTAAAACAGAGCTCTGACTGTATCATTCTTACTCTAAAACCTGGGCAAAAAGGTTGAACTTTCCCCCTCCCTTCTCTACGTGCTAGTTGAACCAGACTCACGCATGAAAGGTGAACATTATGCCATCTGATCAATGTGGCAAAGGATGCTCCTCCCTCAACGGATGCTGTTCCTGCTGCCTGGGCACATACCCCAAACATGGGCTGTTTGTTGAGACCCTGCCCATTCTCAAAAGCCACTTTCTCCAGGAAGTCTCCCAGGACCTTCTCCTTCCTTTGTGCTGGTCCTGTACTCTGCACCTTTGCCACAGGACTCAGGGTAAATAAACCATGTGGCCTAAGGTCTGCATGCACAGGACACCTACATGAACTCAGTGGAACAAAGAACAGTCTTATTCCTTCTTCCTGACAGGACCCAGCAAGCACCATGTACATAACAGGCCCTACATACAGTAAGGCATTGCTGAATTGAACTGCGGTTGAACTGGACATTACCCTCGTTAGGATCTTAGACAAGTCTGCATTTTTTTGCCGAAGTAGAACTTTTCCTTCACATCAGACATTTCTAGAAACAAAATCTTAATCAACAAAAGGAGGAAAAATGTTTGAAGTGGTGCTAGAGGCCAATGGCCCCTTCTCAGCTTACTCCCCATACTACTCTGACTCCCCACTGCTTTTTGGTCCCTGGTTTTCTTGTGGTTTGCAAACAAGTTCCTTCTCCATGTCTTCTATGTCCTGTTCCACAGTTTGCTTAATGAAAAATTCTAGTTAGGTAAGGTCTGGAAATATAATCATGACACTCATCCTTACAAATCCTATGAAGCAGGTACCAGCAGTACCTCCAAGTTACAGACAAGGAAATGGAAGCATAGAGGGCAAAGTGACTTGCCTGCCACCACGCATCTGCTAAGTGTGAGAAACAGCACCAGTAATAAAACAATGGGGTATCCATTACGTGAGTAAGAATAAAAGACTCTCTCTTTGGGTTGAAAGAAGTTGACTTAGCAGTTGCTCTTCTGAGAAGATTGAAGAGTTGCACTGACTGCAAAGTTAACATGAGCTAAAGCAAGCTTACTAAAGGAAATGAACACCCCTGGGTGTTACATTCTGGTTGGAATGACTGCAGGTCTTCTCTGCACTGTCAGACAGTCAGAGAACAGGGTGGAGTTCCAGGAGCAGAATTTGCAGCAGGGCAGACTGGGACACAAGAGGAGGCCGACGTGTGGTAGCTGCCCCTGCTCTTTGAGCTCAGAGTGGTAGTATTTCTGAGGCCCCTACCTTTCTTTCTTTTGTGGGCTAGACATCCCTATCGTGTTCAATAATCAATAGCTAACAACTCTCATTTTTATATATCTAGAGGAAGGTTTTTTTAAGTACCAATATACTCAACTGTCTCCTGACACTGGAGAATTTGTGGTCTGACAGTCCTTAAAGTGACTGACTCTCAGTCCCTCCCCCAAACCTGCTTACCCCTAATTGCTAGAGGAATGCACCTCCAACTAGGAATTCACCTAGTTGTTCAGTTAGAGCCTCAGAAATAATCCTGGATGACCCTCTTCTCTACATCTACGTATTATCTCTAAGTTCTGTTTTTTACATTTCATCCGGGATGAAAATCTTAAGACCTGTTAAACTAATATGCTGTCTTTTTCATATAGTTAGCAAATGGGAGGTTATTTTGGATTTATGAAAAATTATCAAAGAAGATTTTGGCCTCTGATCACACATGAAAATCTTCTAGACTCAATTTATGGTGTAAAAGAGAATATACAGTTTATAATCAGGGGAACAGCCAGAACTTCTGCAATAAAATTGTTGCCTTATAATAGCCATAGTGTGAGCGGTGTTTATTTAGGGGCTGTAAGAAGAATTTGATAGATATAAAATAATTTTATTGGTATTAAAATATTAATGGATTCTCATTGATAGGTTTTGAGTAGTTTGGAAGTGTTATACCTGGAATTCTCTTTTAGAGCCCCGTCCTCACCACAGTTTGTATCTATGTATATTTTTGGTTTAGTTTGCTCAGTAGCAATCTGTCCTTTTAGATCTTTCCATGGTGTAATTTTAGCTCACTACCTCTGAATCCGATATTAGTCAATCTCTGAAATACACAGATGTTCAAATTTCTGTTGTATGTATGAATGCAGCCAAAGGAAATGGTGTTGGATATATATGTGCTTGGTGGCCATCTCAAGGAATATACTCTGTGTGTGTGTGTGTGGGGCGTATAAAGTATATATAGAATATATATTAGTACATATATATTTTTCTCTTTCTCTTACCTATCTATTTAGGAACAGAGCTATAATTAAAAAATTCAAAACTCCTCAAACATTGGAAAATTGCAAATTTATTGTCCTTCAAATCATGTGATTACTTGTGTGACCGGACTTGGCTCTCAGTTTCCTCATATATAAAATTGAAAAGGGGCACCTATGATCTAATAGGCAGTGATAATGCCTCCATCAGGTCTTGGCACCAGCGAAGGCTGATCAAAACCACTGAATTTTAAAAGAACTGTATTAAGATAATTCAGGCAAACTCTCAAAACTATGTTTTGGCAAAGTGTGAAGCGATCTTATACACTGTTGGTGGTAATAGCAGTAGATATAATCTCTTTGGGGAATAATTAGCATTCAAATAAAGTGAGAATATTCAGCCTCTATAAGCGCCCATTCCACTGCTGACTATCCATCCTAGAGAAATGTGCACACATGTCTGGGGATACAAAACAAGATGCCCAGAGCACCGATTATTTATCACAAACTGGAAACAACTCTTCTGTCCATGAATATAATAGGAAAATTGTGGTATATTTTTATAACTGAATGCTAAAGAGTAGTGAAAATAAATACAATCATACTCAAAACATTAATTAATTCTAAAAAGTTAATTTGAGCAAAAGAAAGACCAAAATGGTATATGCTGCATAATTTCATTAAAAAATCACTGAAACAAACTGTGCAGAGTCATTGTAAAATTTGCCAAGGGAGGAAATATATTATTGAAATTGTTTTTTTTTTCCTCCCAGAAATTTGTGATGAATGTTTGAAAATCTCATAGGGAACATGTGGAGAAGATTCTGCAAAAACAAAGAAGTGAGGCTGTGTCAATTTCTATGTTATGCCTCCATTTACAAAATACTTTATAGAAAGAAAATCAATTTCTTTGTTGGGTTACTGCCTCAAAGGTAAAGGACAATATAAGCAGAAACTAGAAGAACTGTGGCAGAAAAACAAGGACCTAAAATATTTCAAGGCCAATGAAATGTGTATTCCTCTTACCAATCAATCTCTCTTCCCATTCCTCACTGGAAATCTTTGTCATGCTACTTTTTTTTTTTCCTTTTGAAGAAAAACTCACTTCCCTGCACAGAATTGCATTGCAGGGTATGTGGGAAATTGGTACATCATCCTGAAGACATGGTTCTAGATGGATTTCAAATAGAATCAAATTCTAGTGATTTCACAGCTACAAATCTGGACTGAATGGGTAGGAACTGGCCTGGCTAGATTGTGTGGTGCACCACTCTGCAGGAATCTGCATGGAACTTAAACAACAAACTC